TGTTTCTGCTGGATTGATGACACACATGTGCCTTCTTAGGCGACAATGTCCAGTAAGAAGATCTATTGTTATCCTAATGATTTGACGTATTTACTCCAGTAGGTCTTTCGTGATCTTGGCCGATGGTTCTTTAATGAAAAGTTAGACCTGTCTTAATTTAGGATAGTTGTTCTACTATTCCTGAGACTCTTTTTGAATCCATTGTTTGATGGATGCCTTGTAGAATACCTTATCAACTCCACAGAAGAGTTCGGGGCCTGTCTGGTCTTATCTTCTTGGGTCAATTCGTTGGCCTTTCCGTTGCCCTGATATCTTTCGTGGCCTTTCACCCAGCTAGAGCCATCTTGTTTTGACTACTTAGCTCTGCCAGGGCTTCCAGGCAATCTTTTACCAGTCGTTATTTGATTTCTGGTGAGAATTGCCTTTAAGGCTGTTTGGCTATCAGAGTAGATGGCAATAGTTTTGCCTGATACTTGCTGATTTATTATGTCTCTGCCTGGAAAACTATTGGATATTCTCGTAGACTCCGCGAAATCGTTGTTCCAAAGATCCAAGCACCGCCAACTTCCTTGGTTATTACACTCTGTATGCCAGATTTCTTTCAAATTTGTATGTGGTTATATTAGTAGGCATTCCTAGAATGTTATCTTTTACTTGTTGATATAACCTCTGCATTAGCATGTGAATTGTGAATAACGCACCTGGTTTCTCCTTGTATGAAGACGTGCAGTGGCGTGAGGTTTAGTAGTACCTCCATTGCTGTAGTTGGCGTAGTACGTATAACCCCAGAGACCCCAGTGGCAGACAGACGAGCCGTTGAATGCTGATGAGTTGGCATATTGTACTTGCCTGCGCAATTTTGGTTAACCACGCCACTGCGCCATAGGTTATCATGGGTCTTATTACCCTTGTGTATAACCATATAGTCATTTTGGAGCTTAGCCTCCAGGTTTTTCCACATATTCTTCTAGAGCTTACGAGAGCTATTGTAGCTTTGTATGCGAATTTTTTGATTCCACGGCAGCCTTTGGTTGAATATGACTCCGAGGTATCTGCCCGTTATTTAGTACTAGTGGTTTTTTGTGCGTTAATGAACAATTGCTCCTTTTAGCACCAGTTGTTTTTGAGCAGGTTGTCCTAGAATTGACCATATTATTGGAGACAGTATTCCTCCTTATGGACAGTCGTCCCGTGTAACTTTTGACTGTATGGTTGCCTTTCCTAGAGTGCATAAAATGATCCTATTCTCTAGGGTGGCGGTGATCCATTGGAATATTTTGACTAGGACGATTCTCTGTTCTAGAGCCTTCGTTATTGACCTGGTTGTGGCATTACTGAGAGCTCTTTCGATATATAAGAAAGTAGCTATTGCGATTTGTCATCTATTGACTTTGAAAGCAGCCTGTCTGGTATGCACATTGGTGGGGATAGATCGGATTTTTTTTTAGTATCTCATCCCTGATATACCTGTCTATCATCTTTCTAGCTTTTTTAGTAAGGAGGATAGGTTTATAGGCGACATGACTTGTCTGATTTTCTCTTATTAAGGAAATAACAAAACAAGAACCAATGGTAAAAAAGGCCTATAACCCTAGAAAAAGTTGATTTGTATTGCAATGTGGTCACCCTCAGGATTGGAAGTAGTTGACAATATCACCTTGAATTTTAAGATTTATAAATTGGTTACACTATTCGTTTGGGAGATACTTCATAGAAACTAAAACTTTAGTACACACTATAAATTTTTAAAATTTTTAAAGAACCAATAAAAAGATGGGATATAGCCATGGAAGTTGTTGTGTTCTATTAAAATGTCCTTCACTGCTAATAATCATGACTGGAAGGAGGCGACAATATCACACTGGATTTTAATATTTTAAAATTATTTAACACTATTGGAAGATTTTCTCTCAACTTTTATAAATTTTGCAAATTTTAAAACTCGGCAAATCGTTTTTGTAAAAACAGGATAACGTGCTTCATAAAAACTAAAATCTAGATAGGTACACACAATAGATTTTTAAAAATATTATTATACAGGGTGTTTCATTGGTAAATGGGCATATGTTATCTGCATATATAGTGGTCACCTAGGTGGTTTAAAAAAACCCATACTTCATGGGTCTGTCGCCTTTTATAACCGAGATACAGGGTGTTTTATCAATTTTGCCGATTTCTTTCTAGGCTCATAACTTTTGAAACTCGCTGAATATTTTTTTGATATTTGGTATACAAGTACACCTTAATTTGTCAAATCCAGTGACGTATTAATAATAGGAAAAATTCAGGTTCGGATTAACAAAAAATTTACAAATTCTTCGATACCTAAAACGACACCCTGTATATCATAATTTTGAATATCTGTTTACAGATTCGAAAAGAGCAGAAAAAATTGAGTTACACCAAGTGGTTTTGGTATTTCTGCATACAATTTTCTTACTTATTAATTTGAGTCAAATCTAAGTGTTTCGATAAAAAGATGAAATAAAATTAAAAAAAATATATTTTTTTCCTAATTATTGACTTATCGAGATTTAACTAAGAAAATCGTCAACCTTATTGTATGCTCTTGATTATTTAATCCAATTTTATTGAAAAACTCAACGACAGGTCCGTATTGAATAAAAAAGTACACCTTTGCTTCAAAACACTAACCTGCGAAATAATTCTAAATTTTTATTAATTTAATTTAAAATTAATATTTATGTATAAATTCCTTTACTTATTTCTAATTAATATTTTATTTAAAACTCGTTCATTTTTTAATTCTTCGGATGCAATAATAAAAAAAAGTAATTAAATACTATGGTTTCTAGTAAGTATTGTTTATTTCAGTGAACAATACCATTTAAGTTGGATTTTCCTATTTTTAGTAATGGTAAAGGCTGTAGTATAAAAAAACCAATTTGACAGTTATGTGTATTATTGTCAGTGGAACATAATTTGCGAGTTTGTACTTGTGTTATTTGATAATTTCTTGCTCAATATGTTGTATGTGTATGGATTCTGTGATGGTAATGGAAAAGTTGCCCGAAGGGAATATGGACGCCGATTTCCTGGTCGAAGGTTACCAAATGACAAAACATTTTCTAATCTATTTTGTTACCTTAAAGAACATAGTAAATTCCCAACCTCAAAAGAAAATGAACAACATGAGAGACAACATATTGGCTTGGAGCAAAATATTCTAGAAATGATCCAAGACGCCCCAAAAATCAGCACGAGAAGAATCAGTGACGCCATTAATGTTCCTCTGTCAACCGTTTGCCATAAGACAAACACACTCACAGATAAGATTTTCTGTTAATATTTGTTGTGGTGTTATTAACAACCGATTGATTGGACCGCATGTTTTACCACGTCGACTAACTGGTGAGGTTTATTTAGAATTCCTGCAAGATGTTTTACCCATACTTCTAGATGATGCAGATGTTGACATGTACTTCCTACATGATGGGGCTTCACCTCATTTCAGGGTAGCAGTGAGAAACTTTCTGAACGATAACTTTCCAAATCATTGGATGGGCAGAGGTTGACCTCACAACTGGCCTGACTTTAACCCAATCGATTATCATGTTTGGGGTCATTTAAAGTCGAAAGTGTATTCATCTGATGTAAATACTAGACAGGAACTTCTTCAAAGAATCGAGGATGCCTGCCAAGATTTGAGAAATAATCCCGCTATGATTACTAGAGCAATACGAAATCTCACTAAAAGAGCTCAGAAATGTATTGAACAAAACGGTGGCCACTTTGAGCACTGTTATAGTTATTTCTTTAATTTTTTTCATTTTCATTGTTATTAAAAAATATACATCATTATTTCTTACTTATTTTTAGTTCCTTTCTTATAATAAATAATATTTTGTAATGATTACCCCCTAATTGTGTCTCAAAGCAAAATTGTGATTTTTTTCGAAATGTTAGTGTTTTCACCTTTTCTTATGAGTATAATATTTTACGTTTTTAACAAATATTACCACACTGTTGTTACAAGTACAGGGCGTTTAAGTGAAATTAGAATTTTATACCCAATACAGACCTGTCGTTGCGTTTTTTTTAAAGATTGAGATTCAAAAATTAAAATAATGAACGAGGTTAATTATTATTATGAATTTAAACTGAAAAGGTAAATACTTAATTAGGAAAAAAGTATTTTTTTAATTTTATTTCATATTTTTATCGAAACACTTAGATTTGACTCAAATTAATAAGTAAGAGAATTGTATGCGAAAATACCAAAACCACTTGTGTAACTCAATTTTTTTCTGGTCTTTTCGAAACTGTGAACAGATATCCAAAATTATGATATACAGGGTGTTGTTTTAGGTATCGAATAATTTGTGAATTTTTTGTTAATCCGGACCTGGATTTTTCCTATTATTAATACGTCACTGAATTTGACAAATTAAGGTGTACTTGTATACCAAATATCAAAAAAAATATACAGCGTGTTTCAAAAGTTATGAGCCTAGAAAAAAGTCGGCAAAATTGATAAAACACTCTGTATCTCGGTTATAAAAGGCGACAGACCCATGAAGTATGGGGTTATTTGGAACCACCTAGGTGACCCCCATATGCAATTAACATATGCCCATTTACCAATGAAACGCCCTGTATAACCAATAGTAAGAAGGGATATAGCCCTGGAAGTAGTTATTTCATATTAGCAGTCACCTTCTGCTAATAATCAAGACTCTACACTTTTATACATTTCAGAAATTTATAATAAAGTACCTCATAAAAACTAAAACTTTGATAAAGGTCCTATATTTATAAAATATTTTTAAAAAAGTTGAGCTCTTAAAGTGTTAATAATTCTGAACCACACTGTATGTTTTCAATATTGTATGGACTTATGAAACATCCTTTCTAATTTCAATTAATTACAATGGCAATACATTTTTTTATACAGATAATTTCCGTTTTAAAAAATACTATACGATTTTCGAATACGTTTTGAAAATGGACTAAAATTTTAATATCGACTGCTGAAAAAAATGGCTCGTCGCGTCGTGAAACTGCATTCCAAGTACGAATCGTATCAAACGTTTGAAGATATACTCGATCAACTCGAAGAAGGCGAAAAAATGAACAAGAAATGTTGCGGTTGGTGTTTTATTTGTTCGTTCAAAGATATTGGCAAAATATGCGGCTGTTGTGGTTCGAATAGAGAAACTGGCGACGATGATTTGGAATGCGCTCTAGTTAACTATGTTCAGGTATTGCGGTCAACTGTGTTGTTGTTATTTCTTTCCCCTCTTACCTGTTGCAGGTTAACATTTGTTTTACTTGTAATTTATTTTATTCTGTTTATATGGACTGCGGCTCAGTAAAGATTTTTCTATTAGGTACTGTGTGTCAATAAATAATCTTAGATTAAAGAGGACCAGAGAGGTGCAACATATATCGGTGTTTAAGATTCGCTTATGTTGACAGTTTCTAAAGATAGGTTAGCTGAGTGGGTTGATTGAGGATTTATTTTCAAACAATGAGAGTACTCATTTTTCTCATGAGAAATGTCATAAGTCAACGAGGAAACAGTATTTTTAAAGCTAGTGTGAACTCACTGACTGTTCCTCTCGAATAATTTCGATAAATACGGTACATAACTTCAGGAGCGTATTCTGGAGCTAAAATAAAGGTAATTTTGTAATATTCACTATAATATGTCTTAAAAATGCTTCGTTTCGGAAATACAGGGTGTGAAATTTTCATAAAAAAAATAGAATTTTTTAAATGTTTCCAAAACCACTGAGATATTTTAATTACATTTTTGCAACTTTTGAGAGTTAGCAACCTTGCGTGTTTTACTGTAAATACAGTGGCTTTCGTTTAACCAGTGGCGTGCGGACAAGGTAATAGCTGAAAAAAATAGAAGGAAAAATGTGTTACGCCGCTGTTCTTTTTCAATATTTATTTTTTGGATTGTTCGATTAAAAAAGGTCCCTTGACTTTTTTCATGAATAATTACAGAGCCACTTTTATTATTTTTATTATTTAACTACAAATAACAATCATATAAATAATCACTTATAACAAAGAATCAAAGCAAATGTTGAAAATGGCCACCTTCTGATAAAACGCACGATTCCAATCGTCTCCTCATTGATTGTCTTACTCTTTCAAAAACTCCTGGAATATTTTTTATGGTATTACAACCTTGAATTATTCGATTTGTTAAATCATTTTCAATTAATACAGGTGTCTCATACACGAGTGATTTAAGGTGACCCCATAAATAAAAGTCCAAGGGATTAAGATCGGGACTGCGAGGTGGCCAAGCTTGAGGACCTCCGCGTCCAATCCAGCGATTAGGAAAAGTGTTGTCGAGGTATTGGCGACAGTGTTGCCAGAATATATTTTTGTAATGTACCAGATTTATCTAAAAAATGTACCAGATTTCATGAAAATGTACTAGATTCTATAAAATTACCAGATTTTTCTAATTATGAAGTATGGTCATTAAAGACCAAAAAAAGGTTTATAGAGAACACGAACACAACAATTTTGAACAATATTTTATCTCTCGACAAATTTCTGACACTATTTTCTATCTCGAGCAGTTTTTGAATAAGATTTTAATACCTTTTGATACTCGTTTATCTCTCGAACAGTTTTTAAATCTGTTTTTAACTCTTGAGCTATTTTGAAACAACATTTTATCTCTCGATAAATTTCTAACAGTATTCTATCTCTCGAGCAATTTTTAACAACTTTTTTTTATCCCTCGAGCAATGTTTGTACAAAATGTTTTGTAAAATGTTTAACACTATTTAATTCCCCAAGAAATTTTTGTACAAAATTTTTTGTACAATTTTTAACACTATTTAATCACTTTTTTACCTTTCAAGCTATTTTTGAACAATATTTGATCTCTCGTGCAATTTTTGAGCAAAATTTCAATAATTTCTAACCCTATTTTATCTCTCGAGCAATATTTATGAACATTTTTTATCTTTCTAACAATTTTTAAACAATGTTTTATCTCTCGAGAAATGTTTAACAGTATTTTATAATTCTCGAGTAATTTTTGAATAAGATTTTAATAACTTATGATACTTTGGAGTGAGGGTAGCCATATGTGAGTAGTAGGGATTAAGTGTAAAGGTTAAAGAAAAGGTCCTTTATTTCTCACAAGTGACTTGTGAGAAATAAAGGACCTTTTCTTTAACCTTTACACTTAATACTTATGATACTATTTTATCTCTCGAACAATTTTTAAATCTTTTTTTACGTCTTGAGCTATATTTAAACAATATTTTATCTTTTGATAAATTTCTAACATTATTCTATTTCTCGAGCAATTTTTAACAACTTTTTTATCTCTTTAGCAAACTGCACAATATTTTAACTCTCGACAAATTTATAAAAATATTTTAACTCTCGATAAATTTTTGACGTTTTATATCTCGAGCAATGTTTGTACAATATTTTATCTCTCGAGCATTTTTTAATAGTATTTTATCGTTCGAGGAATTTATAAACAATGTTGTATCTCTCGAGAAATTTCTAATAGTAGGTATCTCTTGAGTCAATTTTGAACAATATTTTATTTCTCAACAAATTTTTCAATAGTATTTTATCCCTCGAGCAATTTTTGAACAAGGGTTTAACATTTTGTAATACTATTTTACTTCGAGCAATTTTTGAACACGATTTTAAGAATTTATAATACTATTTAATCTCTGGAAAAATTATTAAATATTTTTATCTCTCATTAAATTTCTAACAGTATTTTTATCCCTAGAGCAATTTTTGAACAATATTTTACCTCTCAAGCAATTTCTAATACTATTTTATACTTTACTGATAAATTTTTATCACCCTTTTTTACCTCTCAAGCCATTTTTTAACAATATTTGATCTCTCGTCCAATTTTTAAACAAGTAATTTTTAACAACTATTTTAATTTCTCTTGCAATTTTTGACAAATATATTTTACACTTCAAATGGAAACATACGCTGAAAAAAGTACTAGATATTGTGTCGAGTGTACTAGAGTACCAGATTCTCAGAGAATGTACTAGATCTAGTACAATTGTACTAGACTGGCAACACTGATTGGCGAGCAAGAAGGCTAAAATGGGCTGGTGCACCATCGTGCATAAACCATAAATCTCCTCTTACTTGCAGAGGCACTTCTTCTAACAGACCATTTAGTTCTTTGTCTAAAAACTGAGTATACAAATCACCATTCAGTCGAGGGGGTAAAAAGTATGGTCCAATAAAATGGTCATCAATAATCCCTATCCATACATTTAGTAAAAATGTTTGCTGAAAGCGACCTTCTCCTATTGCATGAGGATTCTCCTCAGCTTATAAATGTTCATTATGAAAATTAATAATTGTTTCTCGCGAAAAAGTTGCCTCATCAGTAAATAAAATTAGGGTCAAAATTTTTTAGATATGAGCAACTTTATGGAGTAACTACCTACTAAAATTTAGCCTTGGCTGAAAGTCGCGAATCAGCAGAGCTTGTACTCGTTGTATGTGGTATGGGTAAAGCAGAGAAACTTTCAAAACTCTCCAAACAGCATTTGCACTTACTTGAAGCTTTTGTGCAATCTTCCTGGTACTAATTGGAGGATTTTCTTCTATCCCCTGTAGTATATCTTCTTCTAGCTCAGGCATTGTTGCTGTTCGTGGTCTACCAGGAACTATCCGATTATGCTCAAAACTACCGGTTTCACTCAATCTGGCATGTATCTTTATAAATGTTTTAGCACATGGTGTTACCCTATTCGGATAACGTTGCTGATAAATTCTTCTAGCTTCCGCTGAATTCCCATTTGCTAAGCCATAAATGAAGTGCATTTGAGCCATTTCAGCGTTAGTAAAATTATTCATTTTAATGTCTGACATACAAATAAATAAACAATTGGCGACTAGTAAAATGTCAAACAAGTACCTGGGAAAAATTGAATATAACTTTTTTGTTGTACATTGTTCAAAGATATTAAAAATAATAAAAAAGAATAAAAAAATGTACTCTTTGTTGCTTTTTCTTCTAAATCGAACATTAAAAACAGAACAGTGGCGAAACACGTTTTTCCTTCCATATTTTTCAGCGATTAGTTTGATTAAAATATCTTAAGTGGTTTTGGAAATTTTTAAAAAAAATTATTTTTTTATGAAACTTTCACGCCCTGTATATCCGTAACGAAGCATTTTTGAGACATAGTGTATATGACAAAAATACCTTCATTTTAGCTACAGAATACGCTCCTAAAGTTATGTACCGTACTTATATACCTGTATATTAAATATGCACATATTTTAAAGTTTTAATTCCTTGCAGTTTCCGAAAAAAATCAAAAGGCTTTAAATTTTGAAATATCATAATGAAAACAAGGACGCCGAGTTCTTTTCAAATATTTCTCCTTTTTTATGGCCCTGTATTTACGAGCAACAGTCAAAGTAAAAGATGACTGTCAAATGAATTTGTCATTTTGAAATATGTGCTTTAATTGAATCGGTGAGTGAAAGAACAGTATATATCCAAAATGACCATTTTGAGAAAAACAAAAAAAACTGTTTTAAAGGAAAACTATGGGCTATTCGGCCTAATTATGTATTGTGAAGTTATAGAATTTTTGTTAACCGATAATAATACATAGATAAATTTAAAAAGAAAATTATGCAAAAGATGATATTTGAAAAAAATTACTTGCAGTTATACTGTTCTTTCACTCAATTTAAGAAAAAATACTATAAATAATTTTGTTATAGCTTTATTGATTATTATTTAACAAACTTATTTGTAATTTTTCTTCAAAATCTTCATTTGACTTTCCAAGAAAATAATATGGTAGGGAAACTCTAGGATTTCTTCACTAAAGTAAGATGAAAGTGTCCTTAAATTGGCTATCTCCTTTACGTTAATAGGGGCAACTTCTAAGTATGCCTTTTCTAATGGCGGGCATAAACGCAACGGTCTACCGCAGAGGTTTACCTATGCAGGTTGCCTGCGTAGGTTCACCGTACGATGTCACTAAAACGAATTGATTTTCGATTTTGCTCCGGTCACCTGTGCAGGTTCAAAACACTGCACAGGTCGATTCCAAGACACGCTCCGGTCTACCTGTGCAGGCACACCTGCACAGGCAGACCTAGTATGTATGATCTGTGGGCAGACCTCTCCGGTAGATCGTAGCGTGTACGCCCACCATAAGGGTAACTGCGGGTTTGGCATTAGGTTTGATCAGTTTAAAAGTGTGCGAGAGAAAACCACCTATAAAGGCACTTGTAGTAACATATCCAGGAATTTCACTAGCTTTTTGTTCATCAACTGATTTGGTCGTTTTATTATGAAATTGTTACCACCAGTTTTTAAAATCTGTCAAATTTGTCTACGAAACGACATGGCGACTGAGCAAAAAACAGTACATGCGCCGCACGTATACTGTTCTTTCACTCAGCCGAAAATTGAACAAGCTCCCATCGCTCGTACGATGTTTTTCGGTGTATTATTCTTTCGCTATGTGATAGGCCTATGAATTTAAAACAATTTGCCTATCTCGGTTAAAATTACTCACCGATTCAATTGTTATTAAAAACTCGTACATCGGAAATATTAAAGGTGTATTCTTAAAAACGAGGTCATAAAAAAAAGAAATATTTGTTCTAAGAAAATTCTTAAATTTTTTTAAATTTTAGTTTAATTCAGGTTACGGTCTATAAATAATCCCCAATTTCCTAACAATATTTAAAAAAGATTGTAAAATTACTCAGTTTGGTGACTATTTAGTGGATACATATATAGATACTAACCCTATGTTATCACCCAAAATATGGGCAGCTAAAATTTTTTCTACTTATAGAACTAACTACCAATACATGCGAGTCATTTCACTCCAAATTTAGCACCTATTGTCTCTCTCCACATCCAAATATTACTATTTTTTTAAAGCTTAATATGCAGACCGACACCTACATAAGAGGTTACAGAGAAGCGAAGTTTTAAATATATTCAATCTAAAATTTTGCAATTTAGTAGGTACTAATCAAATAAATAGGTATGATTTTGTCAAGTGTGTCTCTTACCAATTTAATTTTAATAGTATTGTTTCACTCAATTTTATAGTTTATATATTTCATTATTAAATAAAATTTAATTTCAAATTTTATTTGGACGTTTTTTTTTTTCTTTTCGATACGCTACCATTATTTCGCAGACTAGTTTCCACAGTTCGGGTGTTTTAGATTGTTCAGACCAGGTCAAAATATTTTGTTTCCGCACTTCGTGTGTCTGATTATAGGACCAGATTATCTTTTCCGCAGTTCAGATGCACCGGAAAATAAATGCATAGTATTGATACTATTCTTAATATAATCCCCAAATTTAAACTCTTAATGTCCTGTTAATGATTTTTTAAAATTTGCCAAAATTAGCGGCTAAAACACCTCGTTAAGTGCTATCTTCTGATGTAAACGAATGATGACAGAGAGTGTACGATACGATAGTTTTTTTTTCTCTCCTGGGCTCGTCTGACTATGTGTCTCCGAATAACACTGAAGCCTATTGGCTTATTGTGTTTTACCCCATGTTACTTCATAGCACCCACTCTATCACCTTTGTACCTTGTACAAGTTTGTACAGATCCTTGGGTGAGTGGGTTCTATACGTTGTTGGATCAACCTGGGGTTGTCCAAAAAGAGCCTGTCTTTTGCGATCTAGTATGTGTTTGGCCGTTTCTGGTTTCTTGTGACATAGTCGGCACATGAGTTCCCCATTGTACATGCCAATTTTGTTCAAGTGTCCCTTTACTGGGGCGTGCCCAGTCATGAACCCTGTTATCACTTTCAACTGGTTCCTATTCATTAAGAGTAGTTCTCCAGTTCTTTTGGGACATGGTCTGCCTATGAAGGCTTTTCCATGTGCCTGTTTTGGGGTGCTTCCCCAATAGTTGATATGTTGTTCCCGAATCCAGTCATTTATAAAACCCCGGACTGTACTTTTTGGTACTCCTGGGTTTGTGTCTGGTTCCGGTGTTTCTTCTGACCCTCTTTTTGCAAGTTCGTCAGCCTTTTCGTTGCCTTCGATCCCTTTGTGACCTGGCACCCAAAATAGTTTTACTCTATTTCGGCCAGTGTTCTTAGTTCTTCGATGCATTCCCATACCAGCCTCGACGTAACTTTCTGACTCGATATGGCCTTAAGTGCCGCTTGGCTGTCTGACATTATTTGAATATGCTGATTTTCGACAGCTCTTTCATTGTTCGTTTTTGCACATTGCAAAATTGCGTATACCTCGGCCTGAAATACCGAGGAATGTATTCCTATAGCATAGCTATGGTTAGTATCAGGGTTTTGGAGAATACTCCTGCCCCAGTGCCTTCCGCAGTCTTAGACCCGTCTGTATACCAGGTTTGTTTCTGTCGTTGGGCATTGGGCTCCCTTATGGTGATCTCCGCTCTTTCCTGCATTAAAACCTCAACGGGAGTATTAAAAGAGTACCTCTTGGTGATACGATTGTTACATGTGCGTTACACCAGAAGGCAGCACTTGACGAGACGGTTTAGTCACTAATTTTGGCGAATTTTAAAAAAATCAATAACAAGACATGAATAGCTAAAATTTCGGGATTATATTAAGAATTGTCCTGTTGAGGAATGCATTTATTTTCTTTATATTTCAAAATTTAAAGCTCTTTAATTTTTTTCTCGGAAACTGAAAGGAATTAAAACTTTAACTATATACTTACCTTATTTATTTTGCCAAAATATTAATTTTTATACAAAATTACTTTTTGAAATAGCCTTGTTCCAAAATTATTAAGGGGTGCTATATGCACCTTAAGAATTTTAATTATCTCTGGCTTAAAAACTGTTTCCACGTTATCGTATGACATTTCTCGTGAAAATCTTGAGACAAATCACTGTCTCTAGAGTTTGAAAACTCTGTGTTAATATATTTTAAGATATTTAGTGAAATGTTTTATTATAAAATACAATGTGGTACACATGTAACCCTTTCCTGCACAAATACAGTGTGTGACATAAAGTTGGAAGTAAAAAAAAAAACGTTGTACGACAATCACCTTTGCTTATTTAGAAACCTAAAATAGCCCATATCAAAGTTGGCTACTGACATTAGTTTTTTGTCAAATTCGCATTTTTCTTTTTTAATTTGAAAAAATACCAAATTTGACAAATAACTAATGCGGTAACGGCTATTTTAAGTTTTTAAAAAAAGAAGAGGTGAATGCCCTACGACGTTTTTTTTTTCAATCATAATATTAACAAAATTTTCCATATTGATCCACTTTATGGAACACACTGTAATATAAAATCTGTTTCACTAAAAATAAACATTTAAAGTCTTAACTGATAAAGTAAATTCTCCTCTTAAAGACATATAGTGTGTTCCAAAAGAAATGCCTACCATTCATAGAACTCGTATTATGAAATTTTGTCAAAATACTCATCAATTTCTTAGTAGCTTTGAATTGCTTTATTTTTAATAGATTTTCAATTTCATCATTGTTTTTTAAATGGAACACCCTATATTATATTAAACAATCGGTAACGTTTTTACCCAGAACTTTCCTCTATATAGAAATTATAAAAACAGGGAACTCCAATAAATGGTATTTAACATTTTGGGTACTAATTTTACAATTTTAACAGATTCTGATGAAATAAAAACATTCTGAATCTTTTTAGTTTTTTCGACAAAAATCTTTCACTTTATTCCACATTATTATATTTATGACCAAAGCAACTTAAATTAACACTAAATGAAACTCAAAAATACTATTAGAATGATAATAAAATTTATAAAAAGTTAAAAATCAAAAATACAAAAGTAATTATCCTACTTATAGGTGACAAATGACATTCAGTCGAAATAGACATGGGCGTAGAAAAACTATATATTTAATATACTGGAATATCTACACGTTTTACAAATGTTAGACGCCATTTTGATAACGTTTCAGACAATCAACCAATTCAAAGAACTTAAAATATTCCTGTTTTTCTGCATTGAAACCAAATTGTCGTTTTATGAAAAATAATTCGTACCAGCAATCCATAAATTCCGTTGGTACACATTGGCACAAATTGATATAAAATTAAATGTTTTGTAAACAATGGATGTACAGCCACATAGGATTTTTGTTAAAACAAATGGATAAAATGGTACGGCTATTGTTTTTAGTTAACGGTATATTATACATAGAAATTCTTATCTATTGTTACAGTCATTGGTTTTCATCATTACTTTGCTTATTATTATTTTATTATGTCTGGAAGGATAATACCGGGTGGTCTTTCGAGAAGCACCACCCCTTATTTTTATTTTTATGTGAAGATTTTTGTAATTATTATTCTTTAACTGCAAAGAGATCATCACTACGTATAATGAAGCGATAACAAATTTGAAAAACTAGACTTTTATTAAAAATGGGATCGACATAAACGATAAATTCAAAAATATACAAAAACGTATTTTTAAAGAATGAAATTAAAATGTAATACACTAGGTGTGTACTGTCAAAGTATCTTTTGTATTATTGACTATTGACACACAGTACCCATTTTATAAAACAAACTATAACCACCACGAAAGATGGGATAAAACAAACAACGTTGTCAAATATCAAAACCAGTTTCTCGGACCGCGTAAATTAAAAGAATTTTTAGGAAGTTCGAGCTTCTTCGCCTGAAGGTAAAATAGTAAATAAAGTAATAGTGTCTAAAAAAGAGTTGCTTGAACGAAGAGACCTACAACGAAGTGAGCGGGAAGAAGATGATAGAAAAGAACTTCTTGGTTACAATAAGGATAAAAGATCGATTACTAGTGACAGTTCTTATAACAGTGCGCCGATTATTGAAGTTTCTAAACCAGATGACAAGGAAAAACCTGAAGGTACATAATTTTGTAAAGTTTGTTTATTAACCCCTTCGCTACCAGACCGATTTCGCTATCTACAATATTATACCAGATTTGCACAAACATATTTTTTTTTAATTTCTGTTTTTAGGTAGGTATTTATTTATGATACAAAGATAGGGTTATAAACAGCAAAAAATCAAATAATATTTTATGATAATGCAAAAAGACAATAGTTATTTATTTATAATAAAAAAATATTTTTTTCATTTCTATTTTTAGATATTTACTTATGATACAAAAAAAGGGTTATAAACGACAAAGAAAAAACTAACATTATTTTATTATAATGCAAGGAAACAATAGTTATTTATTTATAACCAGCATGACATTGGGAGCACCAATCAGAAATTTACTCCCACTACAAAATTTGAATATACCAGGGCTAAAACACTATCAATCAAATTATACTGAGCAGCATTGTGCATTTAGTAAACGTGTTGCCATAGTGGCAACATGGTACAGTTGGGCATTACGCATGTGTTGCCATTATGGCAACATGGTAGCGAAGTTATTTAAAAAGTCTAAATACCTGCAACTATCTACAAATATTGCAAGTATAGTTAATATATTTCAAGTATATCAGGGCTTCTCAAACTTTTTCAGAAAGAGTTCCCATAAAAATCTCCACGTCCCACCCCTCCTACGTGCTATAATATGGGTTATAGACCTTTTCATCATGTGATGAGCGCAAGCGCAGCCACCATGTTGAAATAGCGGTAATTCAAAAGTTTCGTACTGTTTTGATCGACAATGGGAAAGCAATATTATCTCTACAGAAAAATTAATCATTAGAAAAAATCGTTGACGGTGATTAACTTTTTTATAACTCTGTGGAAGCGCATAGTTGTGAGCAGTTGAAATGGTGGTTGAAGTGTCTTGGACGTTTGTTACAAAGGAACAAAGTGGATTGATTGAGAGGTTAGGTGTATCAATACTTCTTTATTATGTAAAAAATTAATGAAAACAAATAATAATTATAACTCTATTCTAATTAATTATGTCAACCAACTATTAGTATTTGCAAAAACACTCTAATTAACATAAAAGTTATCAAGAGTATAATTAATAAAATAAATTATTTAATATTTTGAGGATCAACATGACATTTTTAATCATATTACTGTGTATACCGAAGTAGTATTTAATATTAAAAAAATATTGTTTAATACCAGATAAGAATTTTCTTCTGTTGGACCACTTTCTCCATGAAAATGCAGTGAACAAATATAAGTATCTTTAGTAACATCATTAATCCATCAAAACTGTTGTCACTTCGACCATATTTTTTCACACCTAATGCACATTTTGAACATGTTTTAATATGGATTTTGCCTGATAATTTTTTACGATATTGCAGCCACGGCTTTGGAAAATTTATAAAATATGTATTGCCTTTGAATGATTTATACCATGTGTCACTTTTACATAGATAACATAATTATAATTGATTGCAAAAATGTATTTTTCAATTAAGACACTAAACTTATTATTCCTTTACTTTTTCTTCCTTTCTTTAAATAAATATAGGTACTTACAGTTCATCAAATTTCTTGAGGCTTTCGACGGCTAGACAGAGAAAGCACTACTGAGAGGCATCGGTTGGCGGGGCCGACGGATTTACGCAATGAAAGTACACTCTGCGCATCAAGTATTTCACTATTTTATTCAGACGTAAATGTCAGATGTAAATTTCGCTAAAACATTTCTTTTATTTTCGTTTGTGTTTTTTGCTCATTACAGTTTAATAGAACCTAAGTATGGAGTTTAATAGCAAATTAAGAGGCCGCGTGATTAACAGTCAATCTCGCGAAATAATAGCCAAAGTTATAGAGTTTATGAGAAGAGAAGGAAACTTTAATTCACCTTCAATACCATTTAAAAATGTATTTTAAAAGGAATTATTCTGTTCATGTTAATCTCGGAAAATATTGTTCCAACATTAAAAACAATTCTGACTAAATTTAGAGAAGCTACAGGGTACAAAGGAAGCTATGAAAGTTTAAGAAAAATAATAAAGTCGCTAGGATTTCGTTGGCGGAAAACAAAAACAAACAGAAAAATATTAATGGAAAGGTTTGATATTCAAATGCTACGTTTAGACTATCTGATTCGTTTAAAAAGTTATCGAGCAGAGGGCCGTCCAATTGTCTACTTAGATGAAACATACATTCATGCCTCCCACACACACCAGAAAGCTTGGAGTGATAATTCAAATGAGGGATTAAAGAAACCAATTAATAAAGCTGATAGACTAATTATTGTCCATGCAGGAGGTGAAATGGGCTTTATTCCGAATGCCCGGTTAATTTTCAAATCTGGAACCAAAAGTGGAGACTACCACGATGAAATGAGTTTTAGTAATTTTTCTAAATGGTTGAAAGAAAAGCTGTTTTCGAACCTCCCTCCAAGAAGCGTCATTATTGTTGATAATGCTCCTTACCATAATGTCCAGGTAAATAAAGCACCAACGTCAACTTCTAAAAAAGCTGACATGCAGGATTGGTTAAGGAATCATAATATTGCTTACGAAGAGGATATGCTCAAAACGCAATTATACAGTTTAGTGCTATTGCATAAGTCACGATTTAAGAGGTATGCAATTGAAGAAATGATAAATGAACATGGTTTTAGTTGTTTGCGTTTGCCACCGTATTATCCCGATCTTAATCCGATCGAATTAGTGTGGGCATCATTGAAACAATATGTAGCTAGTAACAACACTACATTTAAGAGGCAAGACGTACAACTGTTGTGTGAAGACTTTTTTGATACGTTTTATAAAGAGGAGTGACAATCTAATCTAATAATGCTAAAATGTGGGAATCTAAATTTTATGATAGAGAAGTTTCTTTGGATGAGGCAACTGATAGATTTGTAATTAACTTAAACAGTGACAGTGAGACTGATTTTGAATCTGATATGGAAACTGAAGAAAGTTTTTCGGAAGACCATTAAAATTATATCTGTACCTAAGTATTATCTATTTTTACAACGAAGATGCACAAGATACAAATTTTATTTTTTTATTATTAGCTAGCTATTTTTGTTTCTGAGTTGTGTTCATTTACAGGCTCAATTTTTTTCCGTTTCTCCTTTTTGATTTTATATGGGGTTTCAAGTTGTTTTTGACTTATTTCGACGTAAATCACAACAACACACTTTTTTAATAAAGCAAACAAGTGTTAAGAGGTATATGTACGTGTAAACTACAATTACAAAAAATTGATATGAAACCCATGAAACCACCAACAAAAATGTAAAGCTAGCTTCCGTACTAGAACATGGTGTCATTCGTCGAGATAATTTATCCTTTTGTTTAATAGATCAAGAAATGTAAATATTCCCCTGTTATTTTTTATAAAATTATAAGAGAAATAAATTTTTTTCTAAATAGTATAGTTTATTATTTTGTAGAAAAACAAAATTTCGAAAATTTTAGTAATGTTTCAGAAACAACCGTTATTAATAATAGGTACCATTTTCCTTAATAAGGTAGAAATAAAATATAAACTATTTCCACGATTTACAAAGGCCTACAAAAAAATTATAGGTATTTTCCGCTATCCTATAAAATTTATATTTTCTGACTCAATTTCAAAAGGTTGAAGGAATTCCAAAACACCTTTTATGGCATAATAATTATTTTCAATTCTACATACTATCTTTAGCTGCTTTTAAAAACGTTCTAAGAAAGTCCAATCAGACCAATTTAATCCCTAAACTATTCCACACTTTTAAAATTTAATTACCTAAAAATATTAAAAACTATTTAAAATAACTTGTTTAGCAGACTGTACAATAGCTATCTTAGTCACACGTAGCGCGTTCTCTGTCTGGGCGTCGAACACCTCTAGAAATTTGATGAACTGTAAATTAATATTTATCGATTTTTTCACGTAGGCATTTTAACAGTACGAAAAAGATGGCTGATACTGACGCATGCGCACAAAAAAAATTGTGATGAAAAGGTCTATTGGTACGGTTGCCAGATTTACGAAAGTGAAAAGTGTGACAGGTTCAAATAACAAGCATGTTTACATAATCAGAGGTTCATTATTTATGAAAATTCTAAAAAAATACAAAAAAATGTCCTCGCCTTTTGATTTACGGATTTGAATATTAAAAAGCGTGGCATTTGCTTAAATAGATTGGCATTTGCATTTTTTGACATTTGACATTTTTTGCATTTCTTGAATTTTTGCATTTTTGCATTTTTGCATTTTTGCATTTTTGGCATTTTTGACATTTTTTGGATTTTTTTTACATTTTTTGGCATTTTTTTGGCATTTTTTGGTATTTTTTGGCATTTTGGATTTTTTTTGGCATTTTTGGCATTCGGCGCCTATGCATGCAGCTATTGAAATAATCGCTGCGCAGTTACCAATTTTTGTGAAATTACAGCCGATATTCAAAGTGTGGGTTCGTGAGAGACCCCACCATAACAATTTATATTTTTAAAATGTCAGGTTGGATTAATAATTTTTTTCCAAATTATGGTGTAAAATGGTGTGAAATTTTCTTACCGAATACCACGCAAGTTTAAATTATTCCTGGAAATTTTTTAAGCTCTTGTGATATTATAAGTGATAATTTAATTTTTCTACCAACAATTTTGGGACGTGATTAATATAAAACCAAACCAAATTTAATATCGTAATTCTAAATATTATGGTAGTACAATTTTTGAACACCATAATAACATTTTCGTAACACCCTATTGCTATTTATTTTAAGGAGTTATTTAAAAATATATATTTCTCACTGCGATCGAATATAGGGGAAAAAAGGCTTAATTCCAGACCTGCAATGCCACCTACAATTAAAGTTTCATGCCCGGATGAGAAGGAGCATGACAGTCTGTTGCAACCAAAAGGTGATCGTTAAACACACTGAGTTTTATGCTTTCTAGCCGATTATTTTATTTATTTCTCAACAGACTTTAGCATAAATGTGGTAATGGTTAAATCCGAGACGATTCGTT